CACAGCTTAGTGCAGAGGTCTCCAAAGCGGGGTACGTGCACCTCAGGGGGTGCTCAAGATGATCCCTTTGGGTGTGGGAAAAAATATTGGAACTTCAGTAGTAGAAGTGTATGATTTCTAAATGAAATATACATACGTTGGGGGTACATGCTCAAAAAATTTTTACTGATAGGTGTGGGCAATCAAAAACATTTGGAAACCTCTGGCTTAGTGGACTACTGTTCTACAGGTTTTTTACTGTTCTAGAGACTTCTGTGGTTAATTTGTTTCACTCTGCTGTAGACTTTGCCACTTCTTTACTTTTCTGCATTATTACTGTAACGGAAACCAAATCAAAGTTCTCCTGATGCTGTACACCATTAAGGAGATATAAACAGAAAAGGGGTATGAAGAATAATAGTGAGTTCTAAGTGCAACCTATTCATCTGCAGAATGTTTGTGTAGAACAGTTTGAATATGAAGCAAGGTACATTTTGCTTATCAGGATATATGGAAAGAAGTGGAAATGTTTGCTGGTTATCCAACACAAAGATGTCCACTCTGCTGTTTTCCATCAGAGCAGCTGGTCTTGCTTACCATAAATCATTTCTCTCCCAATGTAGAGAATACCAAAGAGCTTGGTAAGGTAAAAACAGAAAAAAGAAAAAAAGGGTTTTCCCATTATCCTTAAATGGTTCTTCTCATCCCTGGCTTTCCAAAAACAGAGACCCCTAGACTCCAGGGAGAAGAAGCCAGGAATGCAAACATGGCACAAGCCAGCAGCTTTAAGAGGGGCTTCTCGTGCTTGGGAATGCCTCTCTCCTTTAAGAGACAGGCACCTCTGTTTTTGTCAGGAAAACAACTGCTATCAAGGCTGTAGAAGCTTAGTTAGTAGTATCTTGATTGTATAATTTTAGTGGGAAATAGCATCCTCATACTGTTGATTTTGTAGTGATCAATATTTTTTAAAATACGCAGCCTGGTGAAATACCATCCCTCGCTAGAAGCTGGGTGACTTGTTGCATTTTTTTCATTTTGTAGAAATTGTTTGTCAGGCATCTTTTGTTTTCTCTGTTCTTGATACATAAGTTAGATCATGCTGGTTCATCTTTTCCTGATACAAGTGATTTAATAGCAGCATCTCAGTCTCAGTCTCAACTCTAATTTGTTGACCTAGAAGCTATTGCCTCTAATTGGGAAATGTTGTAGTAAGGAAATACACAGCGCAGAATGAGCATTCAAAAAGATAAAAGCTGTTTCCCCTGAGTGCTTGTCCTCATTTCCCTATATCTCTGTAGTACTAGTCAAAATCCCAAATAAAATTAGAGACTGGGAGGAAGAGCAAAATAGAAATAGCCCTCTGCCTTTTCATTCTGGGGAAGGAGGAGTGCAGAAAAGGTGAGGAGAATGTGAAAGGAGCAGGTCATACAGCTGCCGGTAAGGCTCTGTGAGAAGGCAAAGTAAAGCACCTTTACTAGTCTGATGGAAAGATGAGTGGGAGCAATAAAGGAGCTGCTGCCCAGAGACCGGATTTGGTCCCAAACCATCATTTTTTAAATTGTCTGCATTCCATTTCAGTCCCCTCGTGAAATACATTAAATCCTGTGAAGAGTGTGCATTGAAGTGCAACCAAGATGATAGTTTGTTTATGAAGGCTAAAAAGGGTGATCCTTCTTGCACTGAGATGAAGAGAATGCTTAGATACCCTGAAAGAAATTAGTTTAGAAGAGGGCTGGGAATAATAAAATCAAATCAACTCTTTTTAACTGAAAGGGAAGCTAAAATCCTTGTTAGAGTAAATATAAATCCATTCACAGCTGCTTCCCTTTTGAAGAAGGAATAAAGAAATATATGAATATCCATTTGTATTTTACAGCGTTTCCCAGAGATGCAAGATTATTGAATGAATAAATAGTGTTATTTGCTAGATCTAGTCTTCTGAGATGCCCACAAAGGATTCCTTTTATATTTCCTGATCTGTGGTTTTAAGAGAATAAATCTTTAATAACACAACATGCTGACTATTAGCTGGCACAGAAAGAGTAATCATTCTCATTAGTTAGAATTTTTTTGAATGAAACAGAATGTGGTTTGATACAATAAAACAGAGCATCATAACTCAATATGGAAGGCAAAAAGTAATAATTATGTTTTGTCTTGGTGTGAGACTACACGCCTGCAAACGGAAGGGCAATGATACCAGCATCCGTCCTTCTGCGCAGCTTAGTGGGGATGTGGGTAGCAACACACCATCCCCCGCAGCTGGGCCAGCACCAAGGTGAAATCCCTCAAAATGGCACTTGGATATCATTTCCTCCTTGTAGCCAGGGAAACTGGAGGATCAGCTTATCCATCTCTCCCAGTGCTGTGGCTGCATAGCATTTGTCTACAAACTCAAGGGAACACCCCTAGAGTAGGAGAGCACGGCTGGCAGGTTGGCATCACGGACTGTAGTACTGTAGGCATCTCTTGTAGGGATCCCTGGGGTGCAAAGTGGTCCAGGATCCTTCTCAGAGCAATGGGAATGCAGCCACTGCAGCATCACGCTCCTGTTAGTTACTCAGGCTGCTAGCTTAGTCTGTAAAGACATTCGTAGCTGAAAGAAAGAGTTAGTAGTCCTCAGGTCAGATCAGGTGGATTAGGCCCTTGGTCAGCAATATTTCATTGTTCTATGAAGCACAGGATTGTAGTTTGCTAATTTTACACAGTAGTGGTAGTGATTTTACTAGGAATTTGTGCAGTTGCGACAGGAAGGGAAAAACTTTGGTTCAGATTTTCCTGGAAGATAGTGTCAACTGATCTGTAATATTTTTGATGCCATATAGAAGTAAAGGAGACCTTTTCTTCAATGTAAAGTTGTATATTAGATCATGTATTTGGTTATGCTAAGTATGGACTTCTTTACAAGATTTAGCCATTTATGCTTTAAACCAGCATTTGATCATCATCCTTTTTGTTGTAAATAATTAACCATAAAGTATTTAACATTAAAAAATAACCGTAAAATGGGAACTAAGGTCTCTGCTATATTTTTCCCCTTCATTGACACAGTTTCATATGCTGGAAATTATTTATGATTATATGTCCGATTAATTTTTCAACCTCCACTCTGACATTCTTGAAATTACAGTGATATTCCCTTTAGGGAAAGAATAATACACATTTTCCCCAAACTAGCAATCTTTTCAAGTTCTCTTGCTTTTTCTTCCTGTTGTTGGCAGGTGAGGAGTTGCCAGGAGGTGAACTGACATAAATGTCAGAGGTCAATGCGTGTGTAGGAAAGAAAGAGCCTGTCAAGAAAACAAGTTAACCTTTTTTATGGAAACCCTCTGTTTGTATCTTAGTTGAGAACAACGTGGTCTTATAGCTGCTCTGTTCTTGCTTTGAGAACTGAAATGAAAGAGGAAACTTGAAAAGGTTATACATTTGGCAAAATGCTTATTGTTGGTTGCCTAAAGGGGGAAGTTGGGTTTTTTTTTTTCAATCTCAGTCCTGTCTGAAAAGAAGTATTGTATCTGTATGATTTAGCAGTGTATATCTTCTAATTTTTCTTGAGTCAGACAAACTGAAGCCCTCGGCTTACTTTATAAGCCAAGAGGTGTCACCAAATGACACTATTGATAAACCCATTTTCTGTGTACTGCAAGTACTCTGTAGTGTTTCAGTCAGGTCTTCAAAAATAGCTGAATGGCTTTGAATGTTTTATATCAAAGGAAGGCAGTGTTTTAAATACTCTGAAACAAAAGAGTAAAGCTGTAGATTGAATTTTTTCGTTCTTTTCCCTTTTTTAAATTGAAGGCTGGCATTGCTTTACAAAAGATTAACTACAGTTCCTGAACTAATTTCAGAATTACAGCCATGATAAGCCTTTTTCTTTTTAAAGTGGCTTACATCAAGTTTTACTTTAAATAGAAATTGCCTATTCATGGCATTAGCAGATTTATTTATAAAACTTCATGTTTCTAATTTTTTAATGGAAATTAGTCTGGAGAGTTTATCTTGGGAGAGTTCTCCTATTTAGAAAACACTTCAAAAAAACCCCACTGCTGGAGACGCAAGGGTTTGCAGATTTTAGGGTAATAACAGACCATTTCATCAGTGAAAAATTACTTTGAAGATGAATCATTTTGCAAAACGGAGGTTTCGGTTCTCAGTCCATGAGAGACCATCCCTGCTGCCTGCGTGTTCTTGCTCCGCTCCTCAGCACAGTTTACATGCATCCAAACGTCCTTCCTGTGAGAAGCCTTCACGGCAGGCATTGCTCCCTCTGGGACTGTGAGAATGCAGCTGGGCCAAGGGATGTAGCTGGGAGGATTTACCTGAGTAGCAGTTTTACAGTCAGTTGTTGGAAGAGCAAAATACAAGCAGCCTTACAACTGCTGGGATATTGAGCAGTTTTTTGTATTTGGGAGTATTTTGTGCATAATTATTTGAAAGTACTCAATCATGTTTCAGATTCTTTTTTTTGTTCGTTTCTGCCTATGATTTGACTGTCTGCCCAGTGCACGCAGAATAGCTTTGTAGAAGAGAAGAGCTACATATTCTATAAAACTTACAGTCAGAGCAACAAGATTTAAATTACAGCAATAGAGGTCAGCTATCCCCTTGGTCTCTGACTTCTTTACTCTTCCACAAAAAAAAAGAATTCACATTTTCATATTGCATTTGTATTCCACTTGAGGTAAAACTGTGGGTATTGTTTTTGTTGTATTCTTCATTAAGTAAATTTACATAAAGATTAAGTAAATATTCTACAACCCTGGGGTAGGATTGCACATCCTAGTTCACAGAGAGCTCATGGTACCTATTCCATAATTTTTCTTTGTTGATTGCAGTGAGTTGACTTGAGAAGGATGCAATTCAACAAAGAGCAAGGATAGTAAGATCTACGTGAATGTGATCAAAGTCTTGCATCTCTAAATAAGAGCAAAATGTAAATTAAATTTGTATTATCTGTGGTTACACTGCCATCTAGTGATACACAGAGTCAATGTCTGCTTTCTTTATTTTGTTTTCTAAAGATTAGCATCTTCATGACACATTTGTCTAATTATGGAAACGACCGTCTGGGGCTATACACCTTTGTGAATCTGGCCAACTTTGTTCATACCTGGACAAACCTGAAACTGCAGACTCTTCCTCCAGTTCAGCTGGCTCACAAGTATTTTGAACTATTCCCTGAGCAAAAGGACCCTCTCTGGCAGGTAGGCAGGCTTGCTGATTAAAACATCAGAAAAAAATCGTCTTGATGGTGTTTTTTGTGAAGTTCTTTGTTTCAGTTTCTTGTAGAGAAACGACATAACATTTTTAGATTTACTAGTTGGTTCCATAAAACAGCTTACTGATGCTTCAGTCTACATGATTGTTTTTCGTGTCACTTAAATCTCCACAAAAAGGTTGAGAAATTAAGATGTGTAATTAAAACTATCTTTAATGAATTTTATTTGCAACTTTACTTGCTTTTAGAAATAATGAGAAGTACAGAAAAGGCATGTTGTTGTTTCTGTCCTCCTTTTGGAACTAACAGGAATAAAGCATTTGACAGAGGTATATACGCGTATTTCACCAACTGGCCATTGAAGAAATAAACATTTTTCCAAGTGTTTGAGGACATCCACAAAGAGAAAAGAGCATTAAGACTATGACCACCTTAATCCTAAAACCGGCTAGCCAAGTAGAAATAGATTAGGTAGATTAGAAAATTAGAAAGTTATTCATAAATGGCTGAGAACTGCCTAAGCAAGAAGTTTAACAGCACTTAATACGTGGATGCTGTCAACTCTGCTGCTTGATTATCCCGCTCTTTTAAGTGAGCAAATTGAAAATATCAGGAGTGTGAAGACCTGCTAAGACCGAAGCTTGTGCTGGCCTTGCAGTTGACACATCTTCAGCCCATCAGCCAGTGCTAAGATCAGATCACAGTCCCTAATGAGAAACTGCTGCACCAAGGGATGAACACTCCCGTGTTCCTTGTGCACGTGCTGGCGACTGTTCAGCCAGTTCAGTGCGAAGTCCGAGTGCCATAGGTACATGTGTCCCTACAGTGATACTAGATATCACAACTGTTATCCTTTTGAGGCGACTCGGTAGAAATACTCTAAGGAGCAAACTTTACTAAATCAAACATTAAAAGGTATTTTAGCTTGCTTACTCAAATGTTATGTAGCATTGGATATTGAATTGCCAACTTAGAATCTGAGTGTGAGATTGCAAATCTGGACTTAAATATACATCTTGAAATTTATGCTATTATTGAATAAAACACTGGGAAACGGGAAAAATGTCAAGAATTTTGCGTAGTGTTAAGAGAAAATGAATTTAAAAAATGGAAAATACCTTATAGCCAAATGACGTGAAAAATTAGAATTACTTAGAAAAGAGATTTGTAAGTAAAAGTGGCTAACATATACAGAATGTGGTATCTCCTGTCTATAATGCACATGAATCTGAATACATTTACATTTTTTCAGTGTAGAAGATTGATAATTCCCTTCATCCCAGTGCAGTACTACCAAACAATGGTGTCAAAAACTGTTTGCAAGTAGCATTTCTAAAACAAATTAAAATTTCTTCAATTGTAAAGCAGCACATGAAAAAGCAGGATTCAATATTATGTGCTGATTTTAACTGGAGGATGAGAATATGTATTTGTGAATGGAAACCCTTAAATTATAATTAATTTACTATTTTGGTTTAAAAAACTACAGCATGTATAGGGTGGTAGCTGTTACAATAATGTAAAATAAAAACTCAGTAATTAGATAACCCATTAGCAATTTCAAGTCTTCCTAACTTCTGTGGAATTGATTAATTGATTTTGAATTATTCTCACATCTCAAGTAGATCAGACTTGCATTTGGCATAATTCCACTGAACATACTGACACTTCAAAGGAGAAATGATGTCCCAAAGTCTGTTGGGTGGCTGGGGCAACTATATATACATAGAATGGAAACCACACGTCTTCAACATACTTGTCCCATCAGAAAAAAACCTACTTGAGATACAGTTTCTGGGCTGGTTACATTGCTAATAACTTCCTGAATCACTGAAATAGTTCTTTAATATAACATGGTTTTCTGTCATAAAAGAAACTAATATTTTCTGGTAAGAATATTTGTACCTTAGTGAAAAATTGGTAATTTATATAAAGATAATTTGAGAATCTTCTCAGGTGTGATTACCAATGAAATGTTTAGTTGTTCCTCTCCGTTTTAGAATCCCTGTGATGACAAACGGCACAGAGATATCTGGTCTAAAGAAAAAACTTGTGATCGATTACCAAAATTCTTGGTTGTAGGACCCCAGAAAACCGGTGAGATTTTATTGTATTTCAACAAGATAGACTATGTGTATATTCAAATAATTATACTGATTAATCAGTTTTTACTCAGACTGCTGTATAGAGATCTTGATCATCTAATAGCATTTTTTTTATTTTCAGATATCATCCACCTATAGTTTAATCATGTAAGTTACAACAACAGACAGTACACATACTGAAAATGCAGAGTTTAGGTGTGTGTCAGATTTTTTTGGCTTTATGTCAAAATTAGTAGCACAAGATAACAAGATAGATTCTCTCTCCTGCAAGTGTCTGATTTATAGAAACTTGTTAGTTCATGGCGTTTATTTCAAGTCAAGAAGTTCCTAATTGACAGTTCAAATTCCAAGGTTGCAGTAGTTTATAAATTAACTTAATGGTTGATTTTTTTTCTCTGTAATCAGGAAATTGCATATGTGCTTCCTTTCATCTTCACCAATTCCGAATAGCTACCGAGTGTGAGATTTTTAAATTATTTTTGTGACAGTCTCATAAGAACCAATAATTACATTTAAAACATAGCTATTAAAAGTGAGTAAAACAGATTTCAGCATTGGCACTCCAATTTCTGTTACCTATTTTCAGTTATTTAAATGTCTTCAATTTAGAAGTACAGAAAGCACAGATTCTTAGGTGACATAAATCAGCATCCCCTCGCTGAAATGAAATGAAACAAAGCTGGTTTAGATCATCTGTGGGTATGAGTCCCCCCCAAAAAAGTGTGTGTGTGTTTTTCTTAATCTTGGGCTTTTATCCTATTTGCAGGTACCACTGCCTTGTATTTGTTCCTGGTCATGCATCCTTCCATCATTAGTAACTCCCCCAGCCCAAAAACCTTTGAGGAGGTACAGTTCTTTAATAGAAATAACTACCACAGGGGGATTGATTGGTAAGATGGGTTATTAGTATAAATATAAAAGTTTATATATTGTGAACAATACAAAAATGACATTACTGTTGGTAATGGTAACTGTTTATATAGAGTGAGATTAAAAACAAAAGACCTTTAGTGTCCTTCTGAAATGATAAATAAATGCAAGTGAATAACAATCTTATTGCAGAATATCATAAATGCATGAACTTTTGTGAGGATTTCTTGTAAATATCCATGTATTAATATATGCAAAACAGTAACAAAATATGTATTTCTCATTACACATGCCTTTGAAGTTGGGACAGTAATGGTTGCTAGTTGAATATATGGAGGCAAAAATTACGTTTGTGTTGGAAATCTTATTTCTTAAGAGAAAAAAAGTAATATCAGGGAGAGGCATTTTTTCCTTTAAGTAGGATTTAGAAATAGCAATCAGGTAAAAGAGGGATGGAGAAAGTCTCTCAAAATGTTTTTCAAAGATCAGGTAATTAGGACAACATTAATGTCTCTGTAGGGTTAGAAAGTGGTGGTAAAAAAGAGAATGTGACACTGCTACTGTGTTGACTGTGGCTACTGTGGAATCACCAGACATAGCTACACCCAGCAGGTCATTCTTGATTTCTCTTACTTTCAGGAAGTGCTGCAGTATAAAGCACGACAAGGTGAGAAGCGGTAACCTGCTCTAGTGGCTGGCGAGCACCAGTAAAAGATTATTGATATTTTTTCTTGTTTCTTCCCCTCCCCCGCCGCAGCTTAAGTGAAAATAGTTTTCTTATCTTTGACTTTGCATTCATTTATAAAATTAGCAGGGTGAACACTGTTATATGGTCTTAGTGCAGATACGCCAGATCCAATTGCCTTTTAAGGCACTTTGTTTTTACAGAGTTACAATTGTTGCTGCAGATTCATATCACAAATTGTGGTGAGTCAGATAGTTATAACCAATAGAGAGATGCTGGCTGAATGACTGGAAATTAGAAAGCTGACTCCTTGCTGTGGAGACTTCTGAAGAGGAGATGACATGCAAGTGAGATACTGATGGAGGCAGCCTAAGTAGAGTGAGCCAGTTCTTCCACAAAATCCATGTATTCCTGTTGCTAGAAGACCACTTTGCTGTTTCTCTACTGGGCAGTCTATGGTCAACAAAAATTCTGAGTCTAAATTTGTAACCTCTTGGTACCGGACCTGGTCCAATCTCTTAACCATTTTTCACTGACACCACATCAATTTCTACTTTTTTCAGATTTGCCATTTTATCCAAAGAATTGATTAACTTTTTTTCCAAAATTCAGTATAGTGCCATATTTAATGTTAAGTGTTTCCTTTAAGGTTGTAGTCCTCATTGCCTTGTATTTACTCAGTCTACCACCAGGAACTTGAGTACAACAGCATAATGACACCATATATGATCTAGAGCACATGTGCCTGTAGCTCTTTCAAAGCTGGCCTTTTTGTTCGCTGTTGATGTTCTGGTAAAACATTCTGAGGTCATGCAGTCAGGTTGAGTGATTGGTTTCTAATAATTTTATTTGTGAGCAGAAATTGGGATACCTTCATCATTTTAATCTATTCAACCCTTGGGAAATAGAGTCCGTCGTTCAATGAAACAGTATCATATTCTCAGGTATTTGCATTAGTATTAGGCAGATATAAGCACTTAATAGGGTAGTGACAGCTTTTCATTCTGTTCTGTTTAGTTGTACTCTTATTTCAGGGTTTTTTTTTTACCTACAGTCTGCATGTGAGACCAGCAATAGCTATACAGCTTTGTAGCAGAATTTTTGAATGCAAGGTTGAGCATATTATGCAGGCCTATCCATCAGCCCCTTGCATGGCATCATTTAGGTCTTTCTGATACGAGGCAATCTACCAACTGCTACTCTTAAAACCTTGCATGCATCCACAACTATTATTCCTTATCTAATGCATAGAAAATTGTCGTGTGAAGGCCAACCCACTTCTTTTGCACAATTCTGATAACAGGTATCCATCCATTCATGTGCCAAAGAAGCACAAAACATTAACTTAGCAATGTTTGCTTATGTATACATAAATTCACTTCGCAGAATCAGGTGTCACAGAGTTCAGTTTCTTTAAATGACTGTAGATTCCTTCAATTTCTGTAAGTACTTTGTAATCAGTGCCTGTGTGCTAATCATCATCTTGTGAGATCTGTGTCCTAAAGAACACTGCATGTGACCAGACAGTTCCATCCTACCGAGTCTTCTGACCTTGACTACAATGGTCACGACTTCAAGGTCAACAAGAGCATTTGTATTAGAAGTAGCTCACTTGGATGAATAGAACAAAGTCCAGGCACTGGAAGAAATGTCAGTCCTTAAGCATGATCTTCAGAAGAGTTTACTTTAAATGGCATTTATTTTATCAATACAGAGTTTAACAGAAAAATCAAGACCAACATTTCCCATTTATCCTTTTCCCCAACAATAACGAACAGTGGTCTGAGGCCCATGGGGAAACAAGTCTGTGTGTGATAGGAGTTTGCTGGAAATTAACTGCAACTTCGTAATGGACGAGGAAAGCTCACAAAGAAAACACAAAAATGTGTTTCATAGAACAATAAGTAAAAGATGCTGTCACTGCTTAGAAACCTTTTACCTGATGAAGCTGTGGGGTATTTTTTCATTGCATCTTTCCCACATAAACAAGCTCTTTTCTCTTGAGTAAAAGCAATTTTGATACTCTTTTTCTTGCGGTATTGCACTGTAATTGATGTCAACAAAAGGCCAAATTTGGAAAACTCATTTTCTGCTTTTGACTTCAATAGGAGTTTTTTCTGACTGAAAAGTGAGAATTTGCTAATTTTAAGAAGCTGTATGAATATCGTAACATTTTCATCCAGTTACCAAAAAATAGCTGCAATATCTAGTTATATGTAGTGAGAAGAAAGCTAGTACCAAGTAAAATACGATCAAAACTATAATGTAAACGTCTGTTTGCTTTTATTTGTCAATTAGGCTATTAATTTAATTTACTATTCTAGAATAAAATATACTTAACAGATTTCTCAACTTTTGTGCAACTTTTAAGTAATTCTGAGGATGATATTTCTTTCCTAGGTACATGGATTTCTTCCCCACTCCTTCTAATGTCACAACTGACTTCCTCTTTGAGAAAAGTGCCAACTATTTCCATTCTGAGGAAGCTCCTAAGCGAGCTGCTTCCCTCATCCCCAAGGCCAAGATTATCACCATCCTCATTGACCCATCCGATCGGGCGTATTCCTGGTATCAGGTATGCATTTTGGAGAACACAGGCAGGCAAAAATCAAGCTTTCCACCTTGAATCCTCTCTGTATGTTCTTTCAGTATCTAGGTATATAAAGGGTTTGGATAATAGAAGCTTTTATTTGTCAGTCAGCGCACCATATAGGATCACCCATGGGCCTGAGGTATCTGTCAGTGTAAATCTGAAAATCTTTCAAGGGTTTAAATAACACAAACCACTTTTTCAAAAGTCTGCCTGTAATACAAGCATGTAAAAATGGTTATGTACTCAATTAATTTATGTAATTAGCACATACGAAAATTAGTTCATAGGCACAGTTACCTAGTTCATGCTCAAAATACAAGATAGATTAAAAAAAAATTATTTTTCTGGTCTGCAGGTTAGAACAGGAATTTGGAAAAATAAAGATACTTTTTAAAAGTATGAAACTCCAAAGAGAAAAAAGTTCTTAGAACTTCCATGACTTGTTTTATGTTGTATACTTGTATGTACCTTGTATAAGTTAGAAAAACAAAATATGAAACTACTAGAAGCAGACCTTCTTAGTATTTGCGTTTATTATGCCTGATTCATTTGTGCTAAACCTGCCACTCAGTTTATTGAAAATAAACATTTATACATTCTGTTTTATTATTGCTATTATCAGTCTAGCTTCTGATTTCTTCAGATACAAAAAATATTTATTGATACAAACAATATTTATCCCAGCATTTTTTATTGATACAAACAATATTTATCCCAGCAATAAATCAATGCTGATCAATAAATTAATGCTGATAAAGACTTCTTAACTTTAAGTAACTTCTAATGTAAATAATCACTCTTAGCAAGGTCACTAAGGCTAGGTTAGTAAGAACAGCCAGTTTTGTCTTATTTTCCCAAGTTTCGTGGTCTGTAAAGTTCCAGTAATGTAAATTATTTTACAGCATCAGCGATCACATGAAGACCCTGCAGCTCTAAAATTCAGCTTCTATCAGGTGATCACAGCTGGACCTCGAGCCCCATCTGAGCTTAGAGCTCTCCAAAAGAGATGCCTAGCACCTGGATGGTATGCTACCCATATTGAAAGATGGCTAACTTACTTCCCACCTTATCAGGTAAATAAGATTGTAACTTGACATCCTAATCTTACATATATGATATCCTAAAATACTACCTTTGTAGTCTTGCCTACTGAATACTCATCCTCAGGGATATCCTAGATATACTAGAGCATGTTTTAAGGAATTGATTGTCATTCTTTGTAGCCATGTTCTAAGTGATTGGTTGACATTGCTAGGGCTGTCATGTCTTAGCACCTTACAGCTGGGAGCTTCTTCTACAAAATAAATCCTAACAATAGTCTGGAAGCGTAATAAACGTTACTGCTGCTCCTCAAACTCTTTTGTACCCTGAACTGCCTTTAACTTACAGCTGGTTTTCATTTGCTCATGCTTTCATCATGTCTGGCTCTTTGTCCATAATGCTGAGGAAAAGAGAACCAGGCAGGCAGAGCTTTGTGGTCTCTTTGATATCAGATGGCCCATCAGGGTTCCCAAAGGAAAAATTGCAGGAAAATAAAGGGAAGTTGTTTGATGATATTTCTGTCTGCTCTCAGTGGTAGCAAGTATCAATGAGCATCAAGGAATGTCAGCTGGGATATTGCCCTCCCTCCATGGGTGTAGAAGTGTTTTGGTGTCTGAACACTTTGAGGTGTAAAAATCATCTTTTCTTTCTGAAATGGGGATTACCATGTGGAAATGGATGTTATCTAGTGGTTTTGTAAAACCTTAATATTTAAATGCATCAGTGTCTTCACCCACTTCTTGGTCCTTTCATGCAGTAATCTCCTGCTGTGTCATCCTCCTTAGAGCTGTGATTGCAGTAGTAAATAAACCTGTACCTGTGCAAGAGTTCACACACTGTCCCACTGCTGTCCATACTGCTTGATTTTTAACAGACTTCTGGCACAGTTTGGACCTGTAGCAATAATCATCTTGCCACGCAGTTCCAGAGCACAATTAGAAAGATAACAAGAACCATTACCATTGGGATGTGTGGACTCAACCAGTTTGGTTTTGCAGGTGAAAGAGTTTAGCAACATGGATCCAGGTCATGCTGCGCCATCTGGCCTCCAGAGCAGAAAGCTGTCTCTGATTTGATTTAATTAGCAATATAGCATCATCCAGTTTGCCATCTCAGGCATCACCAGTTTTTTAGATGAATTCGTGTTTTGCCGAACATGACTTTTCTGTAATTACCAAAGCACTGGGTCTCTTTTGCACACTTTGTTTTTGGAAATTCCTCAAACATTGCTGCCCATAACGGCACATCCACGCACTCTACTGGGACTCATTCAGGCACTGAGTTTCCTGTGTTGGTATTCCTAATCATCTACATTTGGTATTTATCACTGATCCTCAATCCTCAACTTATTCTTTCTGTTAAGACCAGTTTTTCTGTGTGTCTTTGAGCCTCAAAGTGTGTGTGTTTATGGACCCACAGGTTTCAGTGCAGGTGGCACATAAGCAACCTGAAAATTGGATCTCCCCGCAAGCTTCTGTTGGCTTATAACATAGAAATCATTTACCACCTCCTGGCCCTGTGTAAGATCAAGCCTCAAAAGATGCATGTCCTAAGCCCTGAACATCATGTGACACACAAGACCAGGCAGACAATGCCACATGATAAGTATCTCCTTGGTAGATTTATTTCTGGAATGAGTTTTTCTGACATTAGCAGTGTGTCTGGCAGCACTCCTTACCCAACATTTAAAGATTACTTGGGTTGAGGGAGGTTGGCTGCAATCTGAACCTTCTGTTTATCTAGGACTCACTTAGCTGAGACAAGTTGGCTCGAGTCTGCACCTTCTGTTTTCCCAGAGTGTGCCAAGGAAGCTCTGACGCATCTAGTTGGTGTTATTCTCCATATATTCTCTTTTGGGCCAGCTTTGCAGACTTCATGGCGTTTAGATATTTAGAATTTTGATTGACTTAACTTATTATCTGATAAGTTGTACAAATAGTCCTCTTTTGTCTGTCAGCCAAGACAGATCTCTAGAAGTTCAGGAAGCTCTTAAGTTCATTTCACACCTGCAACTCATTGATTCAATAGAGTCTTACAGAAGAAAAGGTGACCTAGCATGATGAACTCTTTCATGAGGCAGAAGATATGCTCGTGCACCACCTCTATAGGACATCAAGCTGATTTTGCAACAATGGCTGGTTTGAAGCTGAAGGACTCTGGCTATTCCTAAGCTGTTATCTTCTCCAAACTCTTTCTTGCTCCTTTCCCACCATGGTGACTTTCAGACGTGAAGTAACTCATGTATAGTGGGAGAGCAGGGACTTAAACAATCTCTTCAGCTGTCAGCAATATGACAGTGAGATGATCAATACGCTCTAAAGTGACTCAGAATACTTCATCGGTAGTATTTTCATTATATATGAAGCTATCTACTTTGTAAAAATTTCACTATTTATTTTTTCCACCTCACCAATACATGAAATTAGTTAGATTTTGAGGAACTTTGTGAAATTACATCTTCCTGAGATCAGGATATGAATTAATCAGTACAACTAAGGAAAAATTTTGTTTCAGTTCCTTACACCTCCATGAAGGTTGAGAGGGAGCATTTTTTGTTACCTGCTCCCTGTGAATGTCAGGAATTGGGATGTATTTCTCCTGGTAAAACTTTTTCTTGCATGTCTTTTTTGGAGTGGCAGAAGTAGGAATGGCACAGATACTTCTCTCTACATGTGTTTTAAGTAGTGAAGGAAAAACCCCTCACTCTTTCTCTTTCAGATGGAAATATCCCCCATTTGGGATGTTTTTTGACCTTAGTGCTATGAAGCACTTAAGGCCTATTTTCAAAGCTAATGCCTTAGGAAAGCAGTGAGTTCATTTTTGGACTCAGGCAGTCATCAAGCATCTGATTGCAAAAACTTCTGGAATGAGTTACTGCTTTCTGAACGGCCTGATGCTTCCACTAATCCACATCTCTAAATCCACATGCTATATATGGGTAATTCCAAAGACCGATCTTTCAAAAGAAAAGACATTTTTCACTGTAACATATATATGTATATATTTGTGTCTATGAGAACTATAGGTTATTTCTCTAGACATTAATGCCTTTTTTTCTTGGCTGGTTAAATCTCAGTTTCCTGCCAATATTTCTTATCTTTCTATATCCTTCACTGCTATTTCTCCGCTGTTACAACAGCTTCCAGTTTAGTATCTTTTCAGATTTAACTAACGTGCCATTTACCCTGCTCCCAGGCCATTAATGATGATGACAATTAAAACTGGGCCAATTATCATTCTCTGGGACAGTACTCTCCATGTATTGAATGAATTTGACAGGTGGAATTTTCAGTTTGAAGCTTGAAATAATGGATTTTAAATTAAACTTCCATTTATTTTATTGTTGTAGTTGCTAATTATTGATGGACAGCAGCTGAGAACTGACCCATCTACTGTAATGGATGAAGTACAGAAATTTCTGGGAGTCTCTCCTCATTATAATTACTCTGAAGCCCTGACGTGAGTTAATTTAATCATCATTTTCACATGTTCCTACATTCCTAAAATACCAGTTAGTCTGTAGGTAAGCTCACTGCAAAATAAAGTCTCTCATGCTTCTCCTCCGAGCTGTCAGTAGGATGTATTTTTCAATGTCTGCAAAGAACACAATTCTGGGTTAGATTTTCTGTGAATCATCCACTGAGCCACTCAATGTGGAGCTTTACTGTTGCAGAAGTAGACCTCTGACAAACGAACAAAGTAAGTCTTGGGTTGTGAGAACTGCGTGTGAACTTTGGATGAATTTAAAGGAATTTCTGTTTTCATAAGTGAAACATGAAATACTGACATACATAAACAGAAAGGAAAAGGAATTAGTTTCTCTTTATTTTTGACATTAGCTGCAAGACAGATTCAGTGGTACCAATCAGGAATGTAACATCCACTCCATACATCTTAAATACACATGTACACAAATCCTTAGGATTCTGACATTTAGATTTGTTTGTCATTAAATTAAGACTGATAACCTTAGATTTACTCTTTTGAGTCTTCTGTCCAAACTTGGGAGATGCATCCTCCTTGCAGTATCTCACAGCCTTTACACTGCAAAATATTTGTTTCAGGTTTGATTCGCATAAAGGTTTCTGGTGTCAGCTCCTGGAAGAAGGAAAAACAAAGTGTCTTGGCAAGAGCAAAGGTAGAAAATACCCCCCTATGGATTCTGAGGTAAACCATTACGCTCATTTGCTTTATACAGAGATTCATTTGCCACATATGGGACACCACACAGACAAAATCATAAATAGGGAGACAAAACAAAATTAAGTAGATGTTAATTATTTGACTACCTTTGCCTACAAATGAAACATTTAAGATAGCTATGGAGTGCATAGATTTTTTTCAGTTCTTCATTTAAAATATGAAGAGTTACGTCATTAAAAAAAAAAAAAACACAACTTTTAAAATTTGGCACCTCTTAGAAGAATAAACTTGGCAGCCCTGAAATTCACTTGGAAACCTGTCCCATTTACCTAAGTGAGATAAGCAGCAGAAGCTCTGCAGTGCATGGTTTTTTCTCAGTCATGATGTGTATTTGTGTCTGGTCCCTTGTCTTTAAAAGTAGTTAGGTTATGACAAGTAATGTAGGCTCTCATATAATCCAGTTTTAAGAGAGGTTAGTTTCTGTTTCTATGAATTTTATAAATACCTTCTCCAGACAAATGCTCAAATGAAGAAATTTCCTTCAGATCAAATGCTGCAGCCTGTACCCAAAGGCAGTTTAGTCTCTTATTCTAGCTGTAACTTTTATGTTTATTCTGCCCTTTGTGCCCATTTCATTTTGCCTGAGTAAGACACAAATAAAAGCTTACAGTTTGAACTAATGTAAGTACTGATGTAAGTCAATAATGTGGCATGGGAACATTAGTAAGTACTAATGCAGCAAGTATGACAAGATTTTTTTCTCTCAGTACTTAAATTATACGTAAATTTACATTAATAGAATCATACTGATATAAAATTGGGTGAGAAGGCTTTTGGGTAGAGATAAGACAGGGCTGTGTTTGTTTATTGTTGTATTTTTCAACTCTAAATACTTCTGAAAATGGGGTTACTAATTGATACATGTCTACATACGAAGATATTTTTGAAGCTTTAGTTTCAGTCTCACTTCAGTAAATTCAAAGTAACTGCATCTGCTTCAGTGCAATTCTTCATTTACATGACTACCCGAGAGTACAATCAGATCTTTTGCTTTGACTTCATTGTTCATTTTGGACAACCTGTGTTTCTCTTCAAATTACCTTTTAGACTTCAGCTTCTAACTGACAAGCTTAAACTTGCATGCAGTAGATAGCATGAAACAATATAAATTGCGTAAGAGAAAGTAAAGTTTTGACACAGGTAAAACAAACTTTGAAACCTAGAACTCACAGCAACTGCAGTACAGCATTTTATTAAATAAAAATATCTCCTTTTGTGTCCATCAGTGCAGGGCTTTTCTGTCAAGCTACTACAGAGATCACAATGTGGAACTGTCAAAACTCCTACACAAATTGGGACAACCCCTGCCATCGTGGCTGAGACAGGAGCTACAGAAAGTAAGATAGCATTGAAAAAAGGCTTTTTGAAATCTCTTCCACACTTCGGTCATCATACCTAAAGTCTCCAGTATCTACCAGAAGGTCTTGTAAGATATACCTCTTCAAAAATGAGTAGAAGATAGAAATTATTTCCATATGCTGGCATGTGGATTGTGAAAATACACGTGTTTCTTAGAGCTCTGGTGGGTCAAATCTTTCTCATAAACATTTATGAACCTGTGGACTGGTGGACTACTGTGCACATATGTGGAAATTATTTGCAACTGGTATAAGCTTCAGAGATACATGACCTGTCCAATTTCATGGTAAATATTTACATTTTTGTATATCAGTTATAAGTATTGTGTCTCATGTAGGTTTTGTAGCCCATTGTTAGACCACTGACAGTTTTTCTTACTATTTGATTATTGTCTTGCATAAAATAAGAAAACAATGTAGCACAAAATGCCAGGTGTACTTCTGCCTTTGGAATCAGCTTGCTAATACCCAAAGTATATACTAGCAAGGGTGAGAAGTACAGTTATCATACATGACTTGGCTGTGCACAGCAGCAAAATACATGGAGCAAAATCTGGAAGCCACAGGCAAAAGCAGTGTAGAAGAAACCACACACACACAGAGAAAACATTACCAATGCTATAGCCTGTAACAACAAACACAATGTGGTAAGTGTCTTTGTCCATAATTACTATGTCTGATTTTGTACTGAAATGGCAAAATACAGAATATAGCCATGATCTGAACAGAAATTTAATTGGACATGTGAAGCACAAGAATTGCAGTATTATCCTTATGAGCAGTATGAACAGGCTTTCACTCCTGGCTTCTATGAGCAGCTGGATCCACATACTGCACTCTGGGCTTACGTTACTGTGAATCAGGAATGACTCCACTGAAATGAACAAAAATCTCGTAAAGAGCAGAAATAGATTGCCTTAATTTACACCACTATTTTCCCCTTAATTTATTGCCTTTGATCAATGCTTTATGTATTCTAAGACCCTTCAACCCAATCAAAATTGTAGCATCTTTTAGTAACCTTCAGTTTACATCAGGTGCAAAAATCTATCAGATTTCCAGGTTAAAATACTGGTTTTGGTTCCATGTTTGGTATTAAATATTAGGAAAAAAATTTAGGAGAAAAAAAATAAATACACAGTGTGTAAACATGGTAGGAAATTACTCCCTAATCATGGAAATCACAAGCATCCAGCTTTACATTTATATGATACATTTCAATGATACATCTCACAATGCGTCAGTTTAGATGTGAGATAAAGTCTAATTAATAGTACTTAAAAGTCAAGAAAGTCAAGGCCGAGTATGGCCTTAATGCTTCTCCACTGAACTTTGGCTCTGAGGGTTTGTAAAGGCATCAAGAGGTAGTGAAAGCAAAAGAGAAATACGGTACTAAATGCAATGCTTTTTACAGTAGCTCTATAATGTTATCATAATTTGTTTTAGGGTGAATAGTTAAAAACATGCATCAAATGGTGGGAAAACTTTATATGTCTCAGTGCTGTTTTACGACATTTACGTAATCATATAATTTAGCTTTCAAGGTAATGGAATGGAAACCAGTTTGTTATTCCCTAAATAGAAAACAGATGTTGAGATCCTTACTGTACCTCTAACTGGTAATCTTTATTATTTATTGATTTTGTCTATGTAATATGTGGTTTTGATAGGCCTGTAAAGAAAAAAATCTAGACAAATTTGCTGTATATAACAATATTCTTTACGCAGCACATTTTTGCTAAGGGAATATGCATGATTGATGATGAGGACGTACTAGAGTAGACATTTTTTAAGATGAACATCTTTATTATTTATTAGACAGAATGAGAATTTTCATTTCACTTTAGATATTCACTGTCATATAGATTCATCCCAAAAGCTGACTTGTCTTAAAATTCTTCTTATTTGATAAAAGAAACACTCTGGATTCTGAACATCCATAAAAGCAAATACTCTGCATGCTATGGACAGCTCACACATCCTGCAAGCATCTATATGGATTTGTTACAACTAAATTGAATAACAGGACAAAATACCCAGGATTTTCATCCTGACATGATTGATTTTACCCTTGATATAACCTGATGTAACATCACTCAAACATTTTCAAAAAATCCGCAGGGATTGCACAAAGCTCCTGTTTTTTGCACTCCTGCCTCAGTTACTCCATGTTCTTCAGTGCAGCAATTATAAAATAGAAGAAAATAGGAAAAACCTTGGACACTATCAAGTGACTGAAGTTTTCATGGTGAGAGAACCCTCTGCACACAAATTGAGTGCCTCCTACATGCAGGAGGAACGGGCTTCAGCCGTATTCATAGTTCATTCTTTTCAAGAACTCCCTTTCTGTCCTCTTTCTCTGGGAAATCAACGCCCCACAGAGTGAGAATGAGCGGGCAGTGAAGGAGAGAGTGGTGAGGGGGATACGCACATCACATCAGTCGCATTGTTCCTCCAGAAATTTTACAACAGACAAGGTGACGTCTCAGATCTGTGGGCTAGTTCTGTTAAGTCCTCTCTGAGCTACGGCAAGGAGCCCCATACAGTTAGTGATCTGGTAAAGCAGCCCACCTGCAGTCACCACGTAACACTGGGAGGAGAAGCCCCCCACATGCATGGCCTTGGCTTTGCGTGGACAGGCTTGGTTTGGCAGCTAAACACAAAGCTGGTCCTCCAGGATGAGCATGGTGACTCTCAAGTCCTGATGATGGACAGCAGGGTGGAGCTCTTGGATTGTCCCAGTGCCCTTCTTAAGGGATGAACTGGGAACAAAATGAATGAGTTCCTAGGAAAATCTTCAATGGATTCCTGTGGTAACTACCTGAATTGAGACTGTAACCATAGTAGCTTGACCTGGAACTGTGCACCTGAAAGGGCGTGATCTTGAATCTAAATCTCCTGTTGAGAAGCAGCTGTTAAGCAGTAGCATCTTTAGAAAAGGTGCTCCAGGATTAGCTGCTGGTACGCTAGGTGGGCTAGTGCCAGATACCAAAGCAATGAAGAAGTCAAGGCAAACTGCTGGAGCTCTGCAGTTCTGGATTTCTGATGTTCACTTATTACTTGTTTATACAAAGATGGTTTTGTGTTTTTTTTTCCTGCAGAACTATTCTATTTAAACACGTTCTTACATTTAACAGGAGACTGTAAAAAACAGAATGACTTTTAATGTTCAGTCAGCTTGGTGAGGAATGAAGAACCTGAGCAAAGCATGCAGACAACAGCTAGATGCATTATACCCCAAATCATAGGATGCACATGAGTACAGCTGAGTAAGCAAGTCATATAGCATGAATTATCTGACAAAGTTTAACCTCTTCTATTCACAGCTTACCTACAATCAGTGTTTGACTTCCAGAAATGGACTGTCAGTATTGACACTCTTGAAAAATACTGATTCATTACAATGAATTTATATTTGCTAGTCAAAGTCAGATATTTTATTGTGGTTGGTAACACAGCCATGGTTTCTGTTCCCCTGGTAGGTAACTGCACAAGCAATTTCTTTAACAAATGCTTGACTATTGGAGCTTCACCTTTATTTTCATAAATATGATTCTGAAATTTGCTTTCTGCGATCATCTGTGCCATTAAAAATCATTGTGTGATCATGAGCAGAAAGTGACCATTAGGGGTGGTGTAAAGACAGAGCCTGAAATGAAATCACTTAATTATTTGAGCAAACATTCCTGAAAATACTGTGATATTTTCCCAGTTCTACTTGTGCAGACAGAATTAGTTTCAATGATTTGCAGACTATCTTGTACAGAATATCCTTTTTCATTGCTTAAAAATGTGAACTTCCTCAGGAAGAAATTAAATAGATATTTCAATGTTTATAGATGTAATACTCTTGTCATTCACATTGAATGAAAATTGCTGGAAACATTTTTCTCAAAGTTTTTTAAAATAAGAAATAGATATTATTCTGATAGTGGCATGGTATCTGAAGTGCAACAATAAACTCTGATAAGAAAATGTAGTGCTGTGTGGAAGTGATTTTTATGTTCACAAAAGTTGTCCTTTTCCAGGTTTGTTAGCAGTTATTGCAGCTTGACACTGAGCTACAACACAATCCAGGAGCATGGGAGCAGCATGAAATGCTTTCAGAAATGAAAAATATTGCTTACTCTCTCTGTGAGTGAATATTACTGCTTTATGCAGCTGCTCGTTTTACTGCTTTTGCTTCCTGCTTACTTTTTATTTCTTGTGCCAGAAATTGCTAATGCATTGTAGAAACCCTTCCAGGGCTTGCTATTTTTAAGATAACAAGCAGACTTTATTCAAATTATTTGCCTTGGGGATTCAATAGTTGTGCCAATGCATCGGCCCACACAGATGTGAGAATGCCATTCTTAGGAGAAACCTCTAAAGACGGTATGAATGTCCAAAGGAAAATTCACTGTTATCAACAAATTAGAACAGAATAGAGAAGTGTACTACCTAGCTGGGCTAAAGCTGCTTAATGCCTTCATAGGGGTGTAGAAAAAAGGAAACCTATGTTAACAAAATATTCTGATCATTACAGAGAAATGATGGAACCTCTGTTGTGAAGTCTAAGCTTCTTTTAGGATACTCATCTCTAAAACCTTTAAGAATAACAAAAGTGGAACAGCAAAGTTATAACAGAAAGGTACTAAGCAAAGGGAAAAGATCCTTGCTATGAATAACAGCTGCCTGACCTCTGTCTCCAATTTATCTGCTTTCATTTAATGTTTCTTTTCAGTTCTTCCAATCCCAAAATTCTTAAGAGCTCAAGGGCAGAAAACACTTTTTGTCTCTGTGGATCACATGGATGAGGAAAGCACAACAGTCAGCATCAAAGGACAAATCACAGGAACAGGAAAGTAATTAATAACTGAAACCAGGGGCAAGGGAAACCTGAGTGGAGGAGGAATTTAGACAGATTATGGGTGATAGATTTGAAAAGCATATAGTGAGCTTGACTCTCACCACTTGGTTTTCTGTCAGGTTACTTCTTTTTTAATACGGTGTTTTCTTTCTTCACTTCTCTGTTTCTGTTGTGATCCTTTCTTTCCTTGAGAAATTCAGATGGAAAATAAGGCTCATGTACTTTTAATTGCTAATTAATAGATATCTGTCTACCTAGGAGAGCCGTCAATCTAGTAGCACAAGGTCACTGTTGGATCTCTTCCACAAGGTATGACATGGAAGTGGCCTAGTTCAACCGTCGGGCAGGGGCTTGGTTCAGGATTACTACTTCAAATCCTATAACCTGTGTTATTTAAGAGATCAGAGAAATGGGCTTTTTGCCTGAAAAGAAATCTTACTATTTTCTCCTGAATTACCTCATCAAGACTGTCCTATTGTATCTCCCAGCAGAGCTCCTTTCTTCAGCTAAAGAACTGTACTCCTGTACAAAAAAACAAACAAACGAAAAAAACAGAAAAGCATGTTTGGCATAACTTTATACACAAACATATACATATGTTTTAATGATAGAATTCTGCCTGGAAGGACAACATTACGAGCTAAAGGCAGCAGCCAGCTCTCTTATGCATATGACAGAGTAGAAATAAAATTCCTGAACACAAACGGTGCAAGGTCAGAAGAGCTGATGTTTAGCTCACAGCACAGGTAGGACTGTAGGACGTGGCAGGATTGGAATTTGTCTCTGCGCTTTTGTACAATCCCTGCAGCAGTTTCGTATTCTGCAACACCGCTTGATAGTTCTAAATTTGCAGCAGCAACACCATTGTCTGCAAATGATGAAAAACATCTAATGTGACAGATATGCCTTAAATAATTTCCTATCTTTTCCACAGGAGAAAAAAAAAAAGGTAAGAAACATGGATACTAAAACACGAGCCAGAAGGCAGCTTCCTGCTCTGCACCAGTCACCGCTTCCAGCCTCTTCAAAATTCTCCCCAACAATTCGAATACATAGTCATCTGTAGCTGATTGAGCCGGAGTTTCAGTCCCCTGGCTGCATCAGGTCACTGGTGTCTGGCCTGCAAAAGCCAAAATCCCTGCCTTGTCCTTCCAGTGCACCCGCGCACAGAGCACGAACTCACCTTTGAGATGAGTTGCAGCCTGTGCCCAGCCTTTAAAAAACTGCCCTTCCCTGTGCTGAGGGAAACTGCAATAATGCTTAAATCAAGCTGTGGTGCAGAGAGGTATGGCAATTAGGGGAGGTTTAGGTTTTGGAGGAGGAATTTAGACAGATTATGGGTGATAGATTTGAAAAGCATATAGTGAGCTTGACTCTCACCACTTGGTTTTCTGTCAGGTTACTTCTTTTTTAATACGGTGTTTTCTTTCTTCACTTCTCTGTTTCTGTTGTGATCCTTTCTTTCCTTGAGAAATTCAGATGGAAAATAAGGCTCATGTACTTTTAATTGCTAATTAATAGATATCTGTCTACCTAGGAGAGCCGTCAATCTAGTAGCACAAGGTCACTGTTGGATCTCTTCCACAAGGTATGACATGGAAGTGGCCTAGTTCAACCGTCGGGCAGGGGCTTGGTTCAGGATTACTACTTCAAATCCTATAACCTGTGTTATTTAAGAGATCAGAGAAATGGGCTTTTTGCCTGAAAAGAAATCTTACTATTTTCTCCTGAATTACCTCATCAAGACTGTCCTATTGTATCTCCCAGCAGAGCTCCTTTCTTCAGCTAAAGAACTGTACTCCTGTACAAAAAAACAAACAAACGAAAAAAACAGAAAAGCATGTTTGGCATAACTTTATACACAAACATATACATATGTTTTAATGATAGAATTCTGCCTGGAAGGACAACATTACGAGCTAAAGGCAGCAGCCAGCTCTCTTATGCATATGACAGAGTAGAAATAAAATTCCTGAACACAAACGGTGCAAGGTCAGAAGAGCTGATGTTTAGCTCACAGCACAGGTAGGACTGTAGGACGTGGCAGGATTGGAATTTGTCTCTGCGCTTTTGTACAATCCCTGCAGCAGTTTCGTATTCTGCAACACCGCTTGATAGTTCTAAATTTGCAGCAGCAACACCATTGTCTGCAAATGATGAAAAACATCTAATGTGACAGATATGCCTTAAATAATTTCCTATCTTTTCCACAGGAGAAAAAAAAAAAGGTAAGAAACATGGATACTAAAACACGAGCCAGAAGGCAGCTTCCTGCTCTGCACCAGTCACCGCTTCCAGCCTCTTCAAAATTCTCCCCAACAATTCGAATACATAGTCATCTGTAGCTGATTGAGCCGGAGTTTCAGTCCCCTGGCTGCATCAGGTCACTGGTGTCTGGCCTGCAAAAGCCAAAATCCCTGCCTTGTCCTTCCAGTGCACCCGCGCACAGAGCACGAACTCACCTTTGAGATGAGTTGCAGCCTGTGCCCAGCCTTTAAAAAACTGCCCTTCCCTGTGCTGAGGGAAACTGCAATAATGCTTAAATCAAGCTGTGGTGCAGAGAGGTATGGCAATTAGGGGAGGTTTAGGTTTGACATGAGGAAGCATTTCTTTACTGAGAAGGTGGTCAAACCCTGAACAGGCTTCCCAGAGGGTTGGTCGCTGCCCCAAGCCTAGCGGTGTTCAAGGTGTTTGGAGAAGGCCCTTAACAACTTGCTTTAGCTTCTGGTCAGCTCTGAAGTGGTCAGGCAGTTGGACCAGGTGATCCTTGTTGGGCCCTGCCAACTGAAGGAGTCCTGTCCTATCATAATTAAAAATGAAGGTGGGGGAATTTGGCCAGCACTAACCACTTAGCCTTGTTTATAATGGACCAGAAAAGGAAAATTTCCCGTGTTCACCTAAAGGGGTGACTTCATTTTCTAGTGCATCTTTCACAAGTTCTTCTTTCTCACTGGTCCGTGCCTACCAAATAACACATGCCGACGGTTTAGCGTTTAGGGCCCGCCTTATGACTTGACCGAGCACGCAGACGCGTACACGCGTGCACAGGCCGCGGATCTCCACCTACTGACAGGAACCACCCCCCACGCCGGCACCGGCTGGACGGCCGCTCCCAGCGCCGCGGAGGCGGAGCCGCTGCCCCGCCCACTGTCCCGCCCACTGCGCGCGCAGGGGGGCGGTGCTCTCCACCCCGACCCTGCCCTATTCCGAGCGGTGCCCTCGTGGCGTGAGCTCTCCGATCTGTTGGGTCGCGCGGGGCAGTCGTTGCCGAAGAGCCGGCGGCCGTTGGCGGGCGCGCGGGGCGGCCGTTGCCGAAGAGCCGGCGGG